TCTATCATGAATTTTAACTCTATTTTGCTCATTTATATAAACTGTTACCCCTGGAAGTGCTCAGGGGTTGCTCCTGGAGATACTTAGGAGACTATGCAGTGCTGAGAATCAAACCCCGGTATTCTGCGTGTTATCCTTTCTTTGGCTGTGCTCAAGTCAAATGCCCCAAGGCTGTACTATCACTCCAGCCTAGCTCTTTTTTTTTTTTTCTTTTTGGGTCACACCCGGCAATGCTCAGGGGTTATTCCTGCTCTGCATTTAGGAATTACTCCTGGCGGTGCTCGGGGGACCAGATGGGATGCTGGGAATCGAACCCAGGTTGGCCACGTGCAAGCAAACACCCGACCCGCTGTGCTATCACTCCAGCCCCTCAGCTCTTCTCTTACCTCTTTCTTATAATTAAGTAGATTGATGCATCCGAATCAACATGAAATAGTCACAGGAACATACTTAGCAAACACAAACACCTAAATTTCAAAATAATCTAAATTTTTGGTTTGGAAATAATCTAGATTTTTCTTCTGCTGGTTATGCAGCTCAGTAGCAAAACACACGTCTCACATGCATGAGACCTGGATTTGATCCCTGGAACTGCCAAAATAGAAAAAAAGAGTGATTCTGGTTCCTGAGATATCTATATTTTGACATACTGATGAAGTCGGATATTTCATAAAGTCTCAGATGTTCTATCTGGGATTAGCTCAGCGGGTTTCATTTCATGTATGACTATTTACATGGTTTTTTTTTTAGAGAAAAAACTGTAGATATTAAGTAGAGAATATGCTGATTAGAATGCACTGTGAGGGCTGGAGCTATAGTACAGCAGGCAGGGTGCTGACCTTTTACGTGGCCAACCCGGTTTTGATTCATGACATCCCATAGGGTCTCCCAAACACTGCCAGGAGTAATTCCTGAGTGTAGAAATAGAAATAACTCCTGAGCACTGCCGGGGGTGGACCCAAAAGAAAAACAAAAAGAATGTGAGGGCGCTCAGAGGGGTGAACACATGCCTTGCACACATCTCAGGAGGCCCCGAGTTGGATTCCTGGCCCTATACGACCCCTTCTTTCCCTAGCAGCACCAGGATGATATCTATTTTGCTTTGGGTCATATCTGACGGTGTTTAGGGAAGAATGCGGTGCTGGGACTTAAACCCTGGGCCTCAGATATGCACAACAAGTGTTCTACACTGAACCACATCCCTGGAGCTAGGGAGCCCCCTCATAAAAATATACATTATTATTTAGGACCCAGGAGAGAATACAACTGCTTCACTGTAGGCACTCGGCTCTCCAATATCACTGAGAGCAGCTCTGGAGGCCCCCAGGCACCACTGCCTGTGGTCCTGAAGATCCCCAGCACCTCGAGGAGGGCAGGCATTCCCAGGAACAGTCTACAGAAGCAGCACGCTCTTGGGCCCTTGTGCTGACCCTTGACCTGGTTGTCCAAGAATTTCTGGTGGGACTTCCCATGTTCCACTTGGGAAACTGAATAAACAAAAATAAATAAAGGAGGGGCTGGAGAGACAGTACAGCAGGTAAGACACTTGCCTTGAACATGGCCAACTTGGTTTGATCCCCAGCATCCTATATGGTCACTCTGAGCACCACCAGGAGTAATTCCTGAGTGCAGAGCATGGAGTAATCATTGGGTATGGGCCCAAAACAAAACAAAACAAACAAAAAACAACAACTGAGACAAAAGATAAAAAAAAAAAAAGAAAAAGGAGAGGCCAGAGAGAGATATTACAATAGGCAGGACACTTGCCTTGCACGTGGCCAACCTGGGTTTGATCTCTGTTACCCCATTTGGTATCCCAAGCCCTATCAAGAGTGTTTGATTTTGAACCACACCCAGAAGTACTCAGGGTTTACTACTGGCTCTGCACTCAGGAATCACTCCTTATGGGGCTCCAGAAATCATATGAGGTGCCAGAGATTGAACCTGGGCTGGCCACATGTAACGCCCTACCCACTGTACTATTGCACTAGCCCCCATCCCTGCCAGGACTGATCCCTGAGTACAGAGCCAGGGGTAAGCCCTGAAGCACTGCTGGAGAAAGGGAGGGAAGGAGGGTGGAAGAAAGGGAATAAAGGAGGATGGAGCCAGAGTGATAGTACAGCGGGTAGGGTGTTTGCCTTGCAAGCAGCAGATCTGGATTCGATCCCAGCATCCCATATGGCCCCTGAGCACTGCCAGGAGTAATTCCTGGGTGCAGAGCCAGGGATCACTTCTGGTAGAGCTCAGGGTACCATATGCAGTGCCAGGATCAAACTTGGGTCTCCTGCATGTAAGACAAACACCCTACTGGCAGTACTCTCTTTCCCTGGCCCCCGGACTCTTGTTTTCAATTCAAAATAATGTTTGGGGCTGGAGCAATAGTACAGCAGGTGGGGCGTTTGCCTTGCACGAGGCCAACCAGGGTTCAATTTCCAGCATCCCATATGGTCCCCTGAGCACCACCCAGGACCAATTCCTGAGTGCAAGGCCAGGATTAAGCCCTGTGCATCGCTGGGTGTGATCCGAAAAGAAAAAAAAATTCAGTTTACCATCTTGGGGCAGCCCGTTATTGGGCCCCAACACTTCCACAATTTCCACAGAGATCTTTTTTGTGGGGAGGGGACTGTTTAGTGCACTAGACAGTGCACTTAGGGTTTACTCCTGGCTCTGCAGTGAACACTCCTGATAGTGTTTGGGTGCCGGGACTGAACTGTATAAACTGCATGCACGGCAATCTCTCTGGCCCCCAGAGAGATCCCTCTTAAGATAACACTGTATCAAAGCAAACAACTGATGCCTCTGTAATCCTTTATGAGTTTTCCAAAAGACCAAAATTTGGACCAAGAACATGGGTTAAAGTGATCTAACCCTACTCACTTTTCTTCCCTCTCCTAAATGCCACGCTCCAGCAATTCTCGATTCCCTCCTATATCCAAACTCTTTTTTTTTCATAATTTTATTTATTGAATCACTGTGAGAACAGTTACAAAGCTTTCAGGTTAAGACTTGGTCATACAGCGAAACACCCGTTACCTTCACCAGTGCCCATTCTCCACCCCCAAAAAATCAGTATACCATCCCACACGCTCCCCCTACCTGTGGGGCAGATGATTTCCACATTACTCTCTCTCTACTTTGATTACATTCAATATTTTGACACCAAACCCACCATTATTATTTGGGATTTTACCCCAACTCTCAGATCTGCTGAAAAGGCAACTGTAGGCAATTTGTTTTCTATTGCTGGTTATGAATAACATATAATGTCATGTGGCTGCAGTAGTGGCCACGCGATTTTGAAATTCCAAAATTTTAACAATTAAATCTGGAGGGATTTCTACCAAAACTTGCTGCGTTCTGAGTGCAATTCCCTCTGTCTAGCTCTTAGTCCGGTTGACTGTTCCCTTATCAGTGGTCAAATCTCAACTATTACCTCTCTGATAACTATTTGATACTCTACTGCAGTCGATACCCTGAATCAGAAAACAATCTTTTAAGGGAGTTGAAATAGGTTCATTGCACAGTAGCATTACACAAGATCACAGGACAGTGAGACCAGGGCTCTGGCAGCAGGATATCAGACATGGTCAGGGCCAGAAGGACCAGCCTCCCAGTCACACTGGAACCCCCAGGCAATGCCCAGAAGCTGTGGTGTGAGAACCGTTCCTGGCAGGCTCTGGTGCCTGTGGCACTAGGGATCAAACCCGGATCCGCTACGTGCAAGGTAAGCGGTCTATAAGCTCTGCACTTCAAACCGCCCCTGAAGAGTCAGTAAGAGTTGTGGACAATTTTGGAACGGGACCTTCCTTAGCTGCAAAATGTTTTTGTGTGGCTACTACACTTCGTGTCCCTTCCAAGAAAATGAAAAACAAATACAAATCCTCTTGAAACGAAGTATCTTTCTGGTTTTCCAGGGCAGCTCTCTCACTTTTCCTGTGGGCTTGTTTTTCATCCCAAGATTCCTTCCAGGGCACTCTGCCCTGGGCTCGTCTCTCTTAACTCCCGGGACCCAAAACCACTCCATCAGTCGGGATGGGACCGGATGGGCAGATCAACTGGGCACTGCTGCTCTCACGGACCTCTAGGGGCGAATCTCACAGCCCTTCATCCTTTGCTTAGGCATCAACCTTGCTGTGCCTTTTGCATTTTTTTTTTTTAAATTTTTATTAGTGAAACACCAGGAAGTACAGTTGTGGACTTACAAGTTTTTGTGCTTGGGTTTCAGTTATACAATGATCGAGTACCCATCCCTCCACCAGCGCCCATTCTCCACCACCACCAGTCCCAGTATCCCTCCCACCCCCCCATTCCCCACTGCCACTGTGGCAGGGCATTCCCTTTTGTTCTCTCTCTCTCCTTTTGGGTGCTGTAGTTTGCAAAAGAGGCCTTGAGTGGCAATCATGTTCTTGACGCCACAACTGGCTGGCTAGCCCGAGTCCTCCCATACCATCTCTATAGCAAAAAGAACAGCTTCTGGGGAGCTGGAGCAATAGCACAGCGAGTAGGGCGTTTGCCTTGCACGCAGCCGACCTAGGTTCGATTCCCAGCATCGCATCCCACATGGTCCCCCGAGCACCGCCAGGAGTAAATTCCTGAGTGCATGAGCCAGGTGTGACCCAAAAAGCAAAAAAAAAAAAGAAAAAGCTTCTGCAAAAATCACTTTAGACTCTCAAGTGGGGTGAAAGACGGGTCCTGAGAAAGTCCCCAAGATCGGGCTGACCACCGGGGTGGGGGGGCGGTGGGGGGGTAGGGGAGCGGGTTTCAAGCCGCACGGGAGTTTCAAGCCGCCCGGCGCCGCCTTCTTCGCCCTAAGGACCCTGCCACACGGTGCCGCGCCTTTCCCTGCAAGCGTCCCCTGCAACCTGGGAACTTCTTCGGGGCCTGCACTTGCTGATGCTCCTCCGACTCCAGCCCTCAAGCAAACGGCGGCACCTTTGCGGCCGTGGCCACGCCCCTCGGCGCACGTTTCCCCGCGACCCGGAAGGGATTACGCCGCCCCTCGCGGGGGACCCGGAAGTAGACGTACCTCACGGAAGCCGGCTTTGGCCCTGCGGCTGCTGCCGTCGCCGCGGAGAAACTGTTGGAGCTGGCGGCCTAGGAATGGTGAGACTTCGCGGCTTGCCTCAGAGGCGTCTAAGCGGAGGTGGGGGTGACATGGAGTTTCCCAGAGTGCCACCGGGTAAGACCGACCCCCCGGCAGGCTTGGGGCCCCGCCCCGGTAGCGCCCCGAAACTCTGCGCATGCGTGGGCCGGACCGGGCCCGAAGCCGGGGCGAGTGGTGTACGCATGCGCACAGGTGTCCGAAGGTGGGGTGCGACCTGGCCGGGGGAGTCGCTCCCCTCCCCCGCCCGCGGCCGGGCCTGGGGGGTCTCCGGCCACACTGAGAGCGGCGGGGGCGCGCCCGGTGCTGCTCTCTTGAGTCGACTTCATCCCCGCGGCTGTCTCGGGCCCCCGGGACAAACCCGGAATAATAATCCCCTTGGGTGTGCATTGAGGGGACGGGGCGCAGGGAAAGGCGTGGAGAGGCGGGTGCGCCCGTTGCTGCGAATCGGGCCACTCTCAGCTGCCCCCGACCCCCGGCGTGGAGCATCCCAAACGCCTCCCACGGGACCGTGGCAGTCCACAGGGGTCTGGCCCGGGGCAGAGGGGCGGGCTCCGCCTGCGATGCCTCCCCCCTCCCGCCCCCCAGCCCGGGTACCTTAGCCGTCCTGGGGTCCAGGGCAGCGGCGCCTGGCATAGTTCGCAGAGCTAGGGTTTTTTCTTTTTCTTTTTTTTCCCTTTTTTAAGCTTCCACGAGGTACCACCCACTGAATCTTCAGCTAAACCAGCAAGGGGGGTGAGGTGGGGGGCTAAGAAAACGAAGAGCCGGGATGGAGTTGGCCGTTGCCTACCCCATTTCTTTGGGGCACCCCATTTCTTCAGGGGAGGGTGGTGGTGCAGAGCTGAGCGTTGACCAGAGAAAAGAAAAAGAAAAAGTGAGCCCCGAATGCGGTTTCCGAGTCAGGACCCACACCTGGGAGCTGTGGCTAGAACTGGAGGGGACGAAGCACCCCCTGAGAGCACAAGCTCCTCTCTGAACTTAACTGCACCCAGAGATGCCGTGACCTGGAAGTCTCCCGGCTTGAGCCCAGCGTCTTTGCTGCCTGTGCTGTTGGGCGCTGGGGGCCCTTCCTCCGCCTGAGGGAGCCTCATTTCTCCTTTGCAGCATCTCCTCCCAGCCTTTAAGCTCGCCTTCTCTGAGTCCTTGGATGAGCCCGTGGGACCCTTCCTCCTAGCCCAGTGGTTTGGAGCCGGTGGCTTTGGGACTGTAAGAGGATGGACAAAGGTAGTATGAGGTCGGGCCAGCTCCCCCAAACACTCGGGGCCAAGCATCCGCCCAATCCACCTGGTGCCCGGCCTGTCCCTTTCCAGCCTGGCAGGCCTCGGCCAACTCTTTCCCCCCGCTTGTGGCCGCAGCACCCCATACCTCTCAGCAGAGGCTGCAGTTGACTGACTTGCCGTCGGGCTGCTGCTCTCTGGCATGGCCTCATATTGTGGCAGAGGGAGCAGTTACGCCTGTGGCATCAGCGGCCTGACCCGAGCGCCATGTGCTGCACGACATGACATTTGGCACTGGGAGAACTGCCCAGCGTGGAGCCCAGATGGGGGTCTAGATGGCCAAGGAACTCCTACCTTAAAACCTCAAGTCTCGAGGAAGCAGGGGTGTGGGGGGGGCCAGGAGTGCTGGAGGGAAAGTGGGGGGGGCGGAGGGAGGGGCCCCATGTGCCCGGTCTCGAGGCTCAGACGCTGAGGAGACCTTTGTTCACCGTTTTCTCTCTTCCTAGATTCTCAGGGGCTGCTAGATTCCTCCCTGATGGCATCGGGCACTGCTAGCCGCTCGGAGGACGAGGAGTCACTGGCAGGGCAGAAGCGGGCTTCCTCCCAGGCCCTGGGCACCATTCCTAAACGGAGAAGCTCTTCCAGGTAGGAAGGGCTCCGGGCCAGAGTCTGAGCGGGGCGCCATGTGCTGCATGCCTGTGTCCTGTGGGAAAGAGCTTTGGAGCGTTGGCAGTCCCTTGTGCTTTTCCTGCCCCTGCCCTGTCTCTCCCTGTGAAACTGAGTGCCAGGGAGGGAGACTTAGGTCTCTGACGGGGAGTCTGGGGTGCAGCCTGCTGGCATCGCAAGGGGTGGAGACGCTCCAGTCTCTGCCTGGGCCACTGAGCCAGAGCGTGAGCCCCCTGCCGAGAACTGCTCTACTTCAGAGGCTGGGTGCGTGTGGGAGTGGGCGCGGGAGGGGGCGGGGAACACTTAACTGGGCAGTACTCTCCACAGGTTCATCAAGAGGAAGAAGTTTGATGATGAGCTGGTGGAGAGCAGCCTGGCTAAGTCCTCCACGCGGGCGAAAGGGGCCAGTGGGGTGGAACCAGGGCGCTGTTCAGGGAGCGAGCCCTCCTCCAGTGAGAAGAAAAAGGTGAGGGACTGGGCGATGTGGGGTGGGAGCCAGCGCCAGATTTTGTTTCCCCACGTGTCAGCTGGCCTGTGAGAGGCCCCAGCTGCCCCAGTCCCCCCCTCAGGTGCCTCCCTCCCTGGAGCCCCTCTCTCCCGACTCCCCCTGTTTTCACTGCACACCTCCACCCCCCAGCCCTGTCAGTGCGTCCTGTATCACATTCTGTGTGGGAGGCCTGGAGCTTGCATCTATTCTGGGAGCAGACAGCCTGTTCCCAGCTTTGCTGGGTGTAAAAATAACCCCCAGGTGGCATTGCTCTGGCCCCAGACACTGTACCAGCAAGAGTGTTTTCCTGGTATCCTCCCCACCCACCCTCCCTCAGATTGGGGGTGCCTCCAGCAAAGAAAAGACCCCATATGGTCAAGTACTGTGTAGAAGTACTTTGGCGGGGGCGGGAGGGGGAGGGGTGGTATTAGAAAGCTGAGCTCCTGCCTGCGCTGCTTACTGTTGGCTGGGGCTGGGGCTGCCGCACAGGCCGCAAAGCGCTCACTGGCCCGGTGTGGACTCGAAGTGCGCTCGGGTTCTGTTCTGTGTCCAGGTGTCCAAGGCACCCAGCACTCCTGTTCCTCCCAGCCCTGCCCCAGCGCCTGGGCTCACCAAGCGTGTGAAGAAAAGCAAACAGCCACTTCAGGTGACCAAGGATCTGGGCCGCTGGAAGCCTGCGGATGATCTCCTGCTTATCAATGCGGTGTTACAGGTTGGGTGCTCTTCTTGATGTCCCCTGGCTACTTCCGGCCCCTCAGCTAGCCCCATAGAACCTGTGGGTGGCAAAGAAAGAGGCCTCCCAGCCCTGCAGCTGGAGCAAACCCCTCTGGAACTTTGCAGACCAATGACCTGACGTCTGTCCACCTGGGTGTGAAGTTTAGCTGCCGCTTCACCCTTCGGGAAGTCCAGGAGCGCTGGTACGCCCTGCTGTACGACCCTGTCATCTCCAAGTGAGTGGAACTGCCTCCAGCTGTTGGGCTAAGGGACCCCAGAATCTGTCACTTGGGGCAGAGACTTGCGTGAGCGCCCCAGGGAGGGGCCTGGGAGGTGGGACTCTTGGGGCCTTTGTATCGGCACCATGATTTGGAGAGAAGTTGCTTCCTGCTGCCGACCCTGGCTTGATGCCAGAAGCAAGGGCGCGGTGGAGTTGGTTCGGATACCTTGCATGTCTCTCCACACTTACCTCCCAGACTCTTTCTCCATAAACAGAAGGGTTGAAACAAAAAAACATCAAGGCTCCCGTCTGCTCCAGCGGCCTGCATGCCAGACAAACCCATGGAGATCCCATGTACCCTCCCTCCTAAGTCACAGTTCAGCAGCAGCAGAATCTGGCTGAATGCTTCAGCTCTGCCTACTGCTCCATAGCCCCTGATATCTCTTAAAGTGTAGCCACGTACTCAGGAAGTGGGCAGGTCTCAGCTTGGGAAAGACGAGGTGCGAGGTGGCGAGTGGGCGAGCTTTGGCCAAGTAAGAAGGGCTCGGGGAAACAGCACCAACCGGTCTCAGGATCTCCCTTCGGACGGGGTCTCTTCAGGCCTATGCCTTCGAGTCTCTTCACAGCATTGACCATAGGACGCTGCTTCCTGATTTGCCTCTCCACACGTTTGACAAGCAGCTGTGTTCAGCCGGGGCTTCTTAGTTGTGTGCCTTAAGGTTCTACAGATTTGAGAAAAGGGGGAATTCTGGATTGGTTACTGTCCTCCCCTCAACCCTGCCCTCCCTCTTCGTCCTCCCTGCCCAGGCTGGCCTGCCAGGCCATGAGGCAGCTGCACCCAGAGGCCATCGCCACCATCCAGAGTAAGGCCCTGTTCAGCAAGGCTGAGGAACAGCTGCTGAGCAAGGTGGGATCGGTAAGGCTGAGGGCCGGGAAGGTTGAGGGGCCGGGTGGGGTGGAAGCTGGAACCCGGAAAACTACCGCCTGGCTCCTTGTGCACCGGGGAGCTGCAGCTGCTTCGGGCTTCTGAGCAGCACCGAGGCTGGGGGCGGTGGTGGGAAGGCAGGGGTAAGTGTGGAGACAGATGCTTCAGGCTCGCTTCCTGTCCTCCAGACCAGCCAGCCCACCCTGGAGACCTTCCAGGACCTGCTACACCGACACCCCGATGCCTTCTACCTGGCCCGTACTGCCAAGGCTCTGCAGGCCCACTGGCAGCTCATGAAGCAGTATTACTTGCTGGAGGACCAGACAGGTAACTGGCCCAGGAGCTGACAGGCACGCAGTGGGTGAGCGGAGAGAGAGATGAAGCCGTTCGAACACGGGTGCCCCGTAAGAATCCTTCAGTAGGCCCCTGTGTCATACCTTGTGCAACAAAAATCTCGCAGTCTGCCAGTGGGTGGCAAAAGTTAGAATGGTCTTGAGCATCATGGCAAATAAGGGTAGCCGAGCATGCTGAAATGATGCGCAGAAAGTATTAGAATTGTCTATTGCTACGTAGTTTTCTGTTTTTGCTGTTTTAGGTTTACTAAAATGTGTCTTAAATTCTTAATGAATAGCGTTCAAACCGGAATGAAATGAAAGTCCCCTTCCCTGAGCAATCCTTCCCCGTTTCCCACTCGAGAGGCAATAAATGCTCTTTTCTGGTCCTCTCTGCCCCCTCTCTCTCAACTTTCTCACTGCCTTCCTACTCATCAGACAGTCTGACTGCCTTGGGGGCTACTCAGAAATCCTTACTGGAACTTCTGTCTGTATCTCTCTTGTCCCAAGGAGCAGAATACCCGCTGCTTTTTCAACAGAACTCTCTCTTAGCAACAGATATTAACAGAGCAGCTTGGTTAAACTAGGAAAGCAGGAGTTCGGGATTCAACTTCCATGATACTAGCACACACCGCTTTGCCTTTTGGATGGTGTAGCCTGCTGCCGACTCTGGAAGTGAAGCTTTGTCTCCCCCCTTCACTTGACACCCTAAAGCTGCAGTTATAGGTTGGGGATGGGGGTGGAGTGGCGTATGAGAGTGAGCCTGATGTATGAAGCCTTGAATCTAATCCCTGGCCCTGAGGGAAAGAGGGTTGTCAGAGGCAGTTGCCCCCCTTGTCTCTCTGAGGCTCTCTGAGCTGGGGTCCTGTGCGGTGGGCTGCTTTGTTTCCCTGCAGCTTCCAGATCTCCGCTTCCTTCAGTCGAGGCCCCTGAGTCTTACTGAGGGAATGAACCCCGGATAAAGTGTATTTACTTTATAGCCAGCTTCACCTTGACTTTGAAAGTTTCTCTGTGTAAACTTGTTGTATGAATGTTTACTGTTTCTCTTCTCAAGTGGGGATTTGACTTCCCCTTTGCCATTTAGTGCTGAGACACAGGAACAGGGACTAGCCGCTGCTTAGCTGTCGAGGCCTTTGAACATCAGGCCGGACAGTGTCTTTATAGTCTTTAGCGTGTCCCCCTAGTTGATTGAAGGGGGTCGCCTACCTAGCAGCTTGAGAGCAAGCAGGAGCATTGGCGCTTATTTCTCTCTGTCCTTCGTTCAGTGCAGCCGCTGCCCAAGGGGGACCAAGTGCTGAACTTTTCTGACGCCGAGGACCTGATTGATGACAGTAAGCTCAAGTGAGTGTGGGGCACGGCAGGTGTCAACATCCGAATGTCGGACGCTCTGCTGTCGCGCACAGGCCCCTGCAGACGCGCCTCTCCCTTGGCCTCCTGCTCCTCTCGTAGCTCATAGTCCCCAGTCTCGCTTGTCCTTGCCTCTCCACGCCACTCCCCAACCTCAGGGAAGGAGATTGGGGGGAGAGCAGGGGAGCAGCCAGCGGCCCAGTGGGCTCTGAAGCCAGGCTCCTGCTGGTGACCCAGGGGCACTGGAAGCAGAGCCTGAGTCTCCCTCCTCACCCTGCAGGGACATGCGAGACGAGGTCCTGGAACACGGTAAGTGCCTGGCGAGAGCCGGTACGGAGCAGGTCGGTCCAGTCCCTCACCCTGGTAGCCGTGGCGCGCCCCTCCTGGCACCGTCCCTCTCCCCCTCACCCTAGAGTTGACAGTTGCCGACCGGCGCCAGAAGCGGGAGATCCGGCAGCTGGAACAGGAGCTGCACAAGTGGCAGGTGCTAGTGGACAGCATCACAGGTGAGGAGGCGAGGAACTCGGCAGGCACTGCAGCTCCCGGCCCGGGTTGCCTGGTTAGGTGCACCCCCTTTTCCTGGGCCCCTGCCCTTCCCTCGGTGAACCTGGCCCCAGGTCCCTGCCTCCCGCGGTGCCTGGGTGGGTTCTTCCCAGCCCTGTTCCCCACCAGGCATGAGCTCTCCAGACTTCGACAACCAGACTCTGGCCGTGCTGCGGGGCCGCATGGTCCGCTACCTGATGCGCTCCAGAGAGGTGAGGACGGGGGCTCGCCCCGTGCTGCCCCTCTCGACCTTTTCCCTCTCCTGCCCGTCTCCCCCTCTACCCTTCCTGGTTTTGCTCCCCGATTTTCCTTTCCTCAGCCTGTGTGGAGGGTTCCCTTTCCCCCATTCCTCAGGTGCAGGCCCTCACCTGCCCCATTTCCCCAGATCACCCTGGGCAGAGCCACCAAGGACAACCAGATTGACGTGGACCTATCTCTGGAGGGTCCAGCCTGGAAGATCTCCCGGAAGCAAGGTACCAGCAGGAAGTGGTGCGAGGAACCCTCAGGGACCCTCAGCTGGGGCTGAGTTGCTGGCGTTTCTAAGTCTCTTCCTTGGGAAGCCTGAGCGCCTTCTAATATATCCCCAGGACGCAGAGGGGCATGTGGGGGCTTCTGCTCTCTCCCCCATCCCGGGGTACCCCTGTTCCTCCATTCCCACAGGTGTCATCAAGCTGAAAAACAACGGTGACTTCTTCATTGCCAATGAGGGCCGGCGGCCCATCTACATCGACGGACGGCCTGTGCTGTGTGGCTCCAAATGGCGCCTCAGCAACAACTCCGTGGTGGAGGTGAGCTGGGGGCGGCAGGAGGTGGGGGGCCCTGCCGACCTGCCCCCGTCCTGAGCCTCCCTGTCTTGGCCCACAGATTGCCAGCCTGCGGTTTGTCTTCCTTATCAATCAGGACCTCATTGCCCTCATCCGGGCCGAGGCTGCCAAGATCACACCACAGTGAAGAGTGACGGCAGGATCTGGGGCTCTTGCTGGCCTCAGTTTCCCCTGCCAGTCCAGCCGCCTTGAACTGGGAGTGCCGGCTCCTGGAGCGAAAACAGAGTGGGCCACGGAGCCCATTGATCTGAGCCTTTTGCGGGAGGGCAGGGCGGGGACCCTCCAGCTTCCTTAGAGCCAGAGCATCCTTCCTCTTCCGCAGCCCTGCAGACCATCCCCTTCTTTCCCTCTAGACCAGCATTTCTCAGCCAAGGGCCATCTAGCCCAGGGTGTCCCGAGGTCGCCACAGGTGAAAATAGTGTAAATGGGCCACTGGGACTAGGGGGCAGCCAGTAGGGTTGTGGGGGGGCGGGGGGCATAGGAAGGAAATGAGGTCGGAGGGGCCCGTGCTTGGACAGAGATGGAGAAACACTGGCCTAGAATCCCCTTTCACTTGTCTCCAGCTGATTAACTTCAGACTTTTCCTTTATTATCTTTCTTTTGTAAATAAAAAACACTGAGTTCCAGAGTGGTTTCTTTTGTCAGTTTAATATAAAAACGTGGGGCCAGGTGAGCCAGGGGCACATGCAAGGGCTGGCAGACCCCTGCCTCCACCTCAGGCCTCCGCTCTCGGCAGAGACAAGATGGTCCAGGAGCAGGCGGGGGGGGCTCCCCCTGGCACCCCCGACTCGGCCCTGAGCCGGTGGGAGCCGGAGGCCCGGGCTGCGCCTTGCGCCCTACGCCCTACGGTCGGGGCGCAGCAGGTGGCTGTGTGCTGGCGACACTGAGTTCTGGAGAGTCAGACTCCGGTGCCTTCCTCTTGTGTCCACTGGACCGTGCCAGAGCCGTGGCAGCCAATCAGCACCATCTCCAGGCTGTGGGGCTCCCAGGACAAGGCCAGGCCCCGTGACCCCGGGGGGTGCTCCCCCGCACTGGCTGCCTCGGTAGTCTGGCCTGGGGGCTCTGGGGGGCCAGTCTGCGCCCCTTCCTCAGGGCTCGGTGGGACAGGGGTGCTGGTCTCAGGGCAGAGTTCTCCTGGGCCCGGGGGCTCCAAGTCCGAGGCGGAGCTCCAGAAGGCAGAGGTTCGAGGCCAGGGGGAGCTCTGTGATGCTGGGGGGCCCCAGGGCCAAGGGGCTGTGAGAGGCGGGGGCCCCGGTCGGGGGTGCGGCCAGGTCCCACTCAAGGCCGAGCCAGGTGGGGGCTGCAGGCAGAAGGATGACGACTCCGTGTCTACACGCAGAGGCTGCAGAAGTCCCGCGGCGCTGGCTGGGCATGGCGCCTCTCCTGACTCCCGAGGACACAGGCCTTCCCCATGGGGGGCCAGGACCAGCTGCACGGCCTGGCGAAGCGACTGCAGCCCCTCCCGCATCTGCAGCACCTGCTCCGACAGCTCCACCACCTGCGCGGGGTCGGGGGAGGGTGAGGGCGCCGCCGCCTCCCACCCCACCGCGGGCAAGCCCTCACCCACCGCCAGCCGAAGCTTGTCCAGTGTGTCCGTGTCCGCGCTCCTCGCCTCACTGGGGCCCGGAGGGACGGTCAGCAAGTTGTTCTCTGCAGACAGCAGGGTGGGGTCACCAGCCAGGGCCGGTGAGAGGCGTCTGCGGGGGTTCTACCCCGCTCATCAGACCACCCCCACGTAGCACAGATCACTCAGGCCTTGCAGGGCCGACATTCTGGACAGCCACTCCCACTTTGCCCATGCTGCTGTTCTGCCCAAAATGCCAGGGGCCTTGAGCCTGCCACCCTCAGGCTCGCCCCGCCCCGCCCCCAGGACGAGGTTCTCCATGCACGTCTGCTCTCTCCTCCAGGCATGTGGGCACTCCTAGAAGCTCCCTGCCAGGAGGGCAGGGCCTCACCCGGGACCACTCTCCCCTCCCACTTCTTCAAACCTCGAGCCCTGTGAGCCATTCACCATCCTATGGGTTAGTTTAGACTCACTTCAGAGGCACAACTAAAGCAAAGTCACAGTGGAGACAGCGGGGCTTCAAACCCCACTTGCAGCTCCTCAGCACCAAATAGCATCACCCCCAGGCGCCCCAAATAGCACAAACGGGTGAGAGCCAGAGGGCTGCCAGGCTGGTCTGGGCCTGTCATTTCTCAAGAGGCCCATCACACATAAGGTTCACCAGGCAAAGGGGCTATCCCCAAATCTCCCCCCAGACTCAGCCCCCGGTACCTGGTGCGGGGGAAGGGCTGCTGCTGCATTCAGGACCGGACTGTCCCCCTCGGAAAGAGAACTTGGGCTGGTCGGAGCCACAGCCGTCCTCAATGCCATCTACTACTCTGCGGATCCAGAACAGCCAAGGGCAACAAATCAACAGGTGGCCCACAAGGCGTCTCGTGGGACACGGAGGCCCAGCGTCCACACAGGTTGAGGAGACCGGTACCAGAGCAGGGCCTCGGAGCCCCAAGAGGAAGATCACGTAGGATCTCATCTGCCTCCCGCTGCAGAGCCTGCGGTTCACTGAGGCGTCAGACTTGAGCACAAAGAACAGGCCGAGCACGTCTGGCGCACCAATGATGGGGTTAAGGCAGGAGGAGGTGGAGAGGTTGGGCGGCATGGGTGCCCAGGTGAGGGGGGGTGCTTGGCTGCGGTTTAATCACCTAACAGGCGACAATACCTTAATACAGCTCCACTTACCTGGGGCTCAAATCTGGGGGCACATTCCAGGGCACGGAGGGCAGCCGCAGCCCCTCCAAGCTCCGGGGGTGCGCAGAGGGGCCGGGCTCAGCCTGATACGCTCTGGCCCTGCCCGGCCGCCCTCTGCCACCCAGACGAGGCCGGGGTACAGTCCGACGTGGAGACAAGAGCTTGGCGGCGGAGGACGAGGAGGTACAGCTGGGGGACAGCAGGGGACTGGAAGTCTCGTCCGCAGGGGCTGGGGAGGCTGTGGGGCCCTGCTCCCCATCTGTCTCCTTCTCTTCCAGTGTGGACATGAGGGTGTTGTCGCCGCTCAGAGAGCTGGTGTCTACCTGAGGACAGCGGGGGACAGGACAGCAGCAGGGTTAGCTCTGAGCACTCCCCACTTCCCTCCACCACCCCAGCTGCTTCTCCCCAGCAGGGGACTGTCCTGGTCAAATAGGATGCCCAGTATCTCCCACCAGCAGAGGGACAGTCACTATGCCAAACCTTTGCTGTCCCTCGAAATTCTAGCCAAGAAGCCAGAGTGACAAACCTCAGTGGGCTATGTAGGAGGCCTGGGTTTGATCCCAGCACCACATGGTCCTCAGAGCACTGCTGGTAGGAGCCCTGAGCGGCAAGAACTGTGCCAGAACTAGCCCCTGAGCACTGCCAAGTATGGCTTCCCCGCAGACAAAGGAAAAAAAAAGTGTGTGAGGGGCCAGACTGACACATGACCTATATGGGTTCGATCCCTGGCAGCCCCATATGGTTCTCTGAGCCCACGAGGAGTGATCCCTGAGTGCAGAGCCAGGAGTAAGCCTTGAGCACTGCCTGATGTGGCCACCAAACAAATGGAAGATGGACACACCACTCTCTGCGGGTTCCCTGGGCTCGTGGAGCTCTCCGAGAAAACAAGCATCCCAGTTTGGTTTGGAGTTGGAGACCCTCAGCGCAATCTTGTTTGACGGAGGAGCAGGGAAGCGGCTGGGTTCGCCTCAAAGGGTGGCTAGTGGGGCGGCCCCTCTGAACCCATGGGTAACCCTCCCTCTCCTGAGACCCCACCAGCTAGGCTTGAAGTACACTGTGTGCGGGTGTGAAGGGACAGGGAGAGTGTTGGGGGGCTAGCACCGCCCGGCCACAAGCCCCAGCCCCTGCCCCCCTCCAGAACCCCGGCCCCTCCGCACCCTCACCTCTGTGTGACCCGCACCCAGGTTGTAGCTGAGCTCCCCCCGGAGCCCCCTGCTGAAGCGCGGGGCAAACTCGGGGTACAGGGCAAGGCTCTCGTGCAGCCCCGCCAGCTGCAGACACTGCAGGACACAGTAGGTCAGCCCCTTCACGTCCGCGTTGGCCTTCACCACCTGCTCACGCTGGGGCAGCTCGCAGCCGATCAGATCACCCTTCCCTGGGGAGAGGGCACAGAGGTTAGGGATCCCCAGCACCAGAGAAGGGGCGTGAGGAGTTGTAGACCTTCCCCCTGTGCACTGGCCGGGCATCTCTTGCGGGGGGCCACTATGGGACCTTGGAACAAGGCCTGCCACATAGCCCCCCAGAGAGAGGCTGTGGGGGTGGAGCGGGGAAGCGCCCAGACGCTCCGGTACGTGGGACCCCAGCCACATTGAGGAGGACTGAGCCAGTGCTGTGTGGGAGCTGTTAAACCAGCCGGATCCACAGACCTCAGCTCCTTTTCTCCCTACAGAACCCAAGTACCAGCAAGGGTCCCCCTCCCCCCAACTCCGAGCCCGCTTTCAGCCTATTGCACACAGTGTGGCTGCACAGCTGCCCCGTGGTCCAGAAGGTGTCACTGAGGGTTTTCCTGCCACGAAGTAGGGGGCACTGCCTGCCGGGCAGCAATGGCAACGTGGACTCGATTAGACTGAATTCTTCCACGTTAGATTGGGGAAAACATGTCTGTGGATCAATGAAATAGTGTCTCCCCTCAGGGACACGGAGAAAAGCAAACTAGTTTGTATCAGAAAGCACCTGATGTGCAGGCAATGGGGCACATTTCAGGAGTGGCCACAGGTAGCCCCCCAGAGACGCTGCCCTTGCTCACTGCCCTCCTCGAGCACCCACTGCTGCAGCCCACTGGCTCAAAAGCACTTCCGGCCTTCAGAAGAGATGGCTGGCGGTCACCACATGCTGCAGGCACCCACTGAGCCTGGAGGCCTCCTATGACACCATGGACTTCTGCTCAAACTAACGCATCAAACACATCACGGTTACATTCTGGGGGCGGGTGAACACTCAGTAGTGCTCCAGGACCACTCCTGGCTCGGGGTTCATGGGAACATGTGGGGCTGGGATTGAACCCAGACCTCCAGCGTGCTAAGCGTCTCCTCCAGCCCATTATGTTTTACTTTCCTCGTTTCAGGCCATGCTTCAAGTTTTTTTTGTTTTGTTTTGCTTTTTGGGTCACACCCAGCGATGCTCAGGGGTTACTCCTGGCTCTGCACTCGGGGGACCATATGGGATGCTGGGAATCAACCCAGGCTGGCAGCTTGCAAGGCAAACGCCCTCCCCGCTGTGCTATTGCTCCAGCCCCATGCTTCAAGTTTCTTCCAGAGCTGTCTGTATCTTGAGGCGACCATCTGATGAATGAGCTCTGGGCCCCTCCACTGGTGACATCCGAAACAAGAGTGGTCTATTTCTTGTCTTCATCCAAGAGGTGAGATAAGAACAACTGCTAGGAGAGGACCCAAGACAGAGTCCATGCTACTGGTCTGAGCCCAGAGTTCCCTGCATCACTGACATCTCAGTGCACACCTCGGCTCGGCTCACGCGCCCCTTCCCTGGCTTCCAACCTCCTTCCTCCTGTAGCTCCTATGTGCAGACGCCCACACAGGATGGCTGGCCTGACCACTGGGTCTGTGAGCACTAAGCCGTGGAGGCAGAGAGCATGCGAGGGTTGGGGGAGTCCAAGCGGGAAGCCAGGTGCCGCTGAGGGCTGGGGAAGCAGGTAGCTCTTGAACCATGTCAGCAGAGGAGATCGTTCCTGGGAAGAGAGTTGGTCAAAGGGCATCTGTCTGGTGCAGGAGTGCTCAGGTGCTCCGTGGGTGAAGGCCTGGGTCACAGACCCTTCCTGGAGGCTGTCGTGAAACCGAACGGCATTCCATGATGAGCGGCCTGGAGTCAGGGAACAGACGCTCAGGCAGGACCCAGGTAGCTCCCATCTCTCTACTGCCTTGGCTCCGAATGGGGAAAAGTGTGTCTCATAATCCATTTGAACAGGATGCACCATGTGCCTTGCATGTGTGAGGCCCTGGGTGACCCCAGGCACCACAAAAATAAAATAAAATAATAATAACAATAATACACTTGAAAATCTTGCTGCGGATTAGCCAGTCCACAATCGTCCAGGCAGGTCGGCCTTTTTCATCCTTGTGAACCTCTCCGGTTCCCTGTAATTTCTCAATGATTCCCAGTCACTCGCTCCAAACCTTGGCATAACAGCACGCAAGCCCAGGAAAGGAACTCCTGAACGATGCAAAGGAGGGTACCAGCCGGCCTCGGAGCCAAGCCCTGGGTGGTGTTTCTTTCCTCCAGTATCTAGCTGGGAGATCCAGGTGAGACTCGGCCCTTGGTCTGCTCGCTCCTCCAGTCGGCAGGAAACCGCAGCTCCTCCAGGCAGCACTGTCACACACGAAGTCAACACGCACTTGGCAGCTTGAGGGTCCCTCCGTGGTGGAGGATTCACTCGCGGTCTTGTGAAGGTGTGAGTCGCTCCATGGCGCAAGTCAATCAGGGAGTTCTCGTGCCCCAGGCACTGCTGAGGCTCCCACACTCTGGGGCAGCACCAATGTGCCTCCCCCAGGCCTGGGGTGGGGGGGTATCTGCAGTCCTGCCTCTGCGCTGGGTGTCCCCAGCAGAATGTCGTGCTGTGCCACACACGGGCTCTGAGTCCAGCCTGCCTTTCTCCTGGCACAGAGACTGGGGCTCCCTTGCAAAATGGGGACTCTACTGGTTCCTGGCCAGACCCACTAAGGTGGGCATGCCTGGGAGAAAGCAGGGAGGGCTCCCGAGCCCCTATCAGCACGCCGGCCCCCTGTCCCGCCTGGGCAGGGATCCATCCCTCATCTTCGCCTCTTTTTTGCTGCCTTTTATTGGTTTGGAGGCCATAAGAAGTCAGCTCAGGGGCTCCTCCAGGCTGAGGGCAGGGCACCGTGCCGCACTGAGGCTGGAACTCCTGCCTCCTTCCGGGTGAGGCTGCCCCAGACCCACTGAGAGCGTCTCCCTGGCCCTCCACCCTTTGGGGCCAAGAAGGTTTGCTGGGAGTCTGAGGTCTGTGGTCCCCATTTGGGCTTGGAGCCTGGTGTCCCTTCTTTCGTTTGAATTCTTGGCCCTGGTGTGATCTGTAGCTCAGCTCCTGGAGGGGCCCGCAGCTGGGAGCCCCAAGGTTGCTCTCATTCCCCCTTCTAGCCTCACCTGAGCACTTCCACCGGAGACAGAGAGTGTTGCATCCCTCTGCGCCCTCATAGACTCAAGTCCGTTCTCGGCACCCCGCCCACTCCCTCTTCTCCCTCCCTGCACCCCCCACCCACACCCGGCATGGGGAGACCTTTCCACCTCCTCCTGTCGCCACCTTGTGGCCACTGGGTCACCCTCGGCTCTGCCCGAGCCCCACGGGCACCCCCTGCCCTGCCTCCCTTTCGCACCTAGGATGGCGAGCACGGTGCCTCCTTTGAGCACCTCCATGGAGCCAGAGCAGACGAAGTAGAGGGCCTGGAGCGCGTCGCCCTGGTGGATGAGGTACTCGCCCGGCGTGCAGAAGGCGGGCCGGAGGGCCAGGGACAGGGCGCGCAGGCAGCCACGGCTGGCGGCCTCGAACAGCGGCAGCTGCAGGACCTCCTTGTGCAGGTGCATCGCGATGTCTGCGCGGAGCTCGTCCGGGAGGCTCTGCAGCAGCTGCGGGGCCCGGGCAGGTGAGGGGGGAGGGGCGGGCTCTCGGCCAGGCCCTCCCCACCTGGAGTCCTAGGGAGCATGGGCGGCCTGGCGCCATCCGGAGCGACACAGGACACAAGGCAGAGAGGACGGCCGCCTCAGCCTTCCTTGCAACAGCTTTCACTGCGCCCCACAACCCCGAGACTCAGGCTGCGCCCCGTGAACAGAGGCCCCCTGAGCCCTGCTGGCTGCCCGCGAGTCCCTGCTCTGCCCAGGAGGCCAGACTCCCTGCCCGGCCCCCTCCCCGAGGATTCGGGCCCAGCATCCTCCCCTTTCAGGAGCAAAGGCTCCGCAGCGCACCTCGGTGGTGTCAATGCCATTGTTCACGGCCCATGTGGCCTGGAAATACTCGAGCATGCGCTGCTTGAGGGGCTTGGGGATGCGGTGGATGCGGATGTAGTCACGCAGGTCGCGGGTGCGGCTGTGATACAGAAAGCGGCGGGCGTACATGCGCTGGATGATGGCCGTCACGTTCCCGAACACCACGGCGTGCATCAGGGCTGCGGGGGAAGAGGGGGTCCCCGCCGTGAGTCTGAGCCAGCTGGACCCCAACTCTCCTGGGCAGCACGGAGACCCGCTGCCCAGCGCGGGGCTCCCTGCCCAGCCCAGCCCCGGGTTCCTCCTCCAAGCAGACAGACCCCCCCCCCCCCCCGGGGAACTATCCGGAGCCGGGGGGTCCGCCTGGCCCGCGGGCAGTGGCAGGCCTCACCGCCGATGAGCATGGTGCAGATGGAGAAGATCTTCTCGGTGTCCGTGTTGGCGGACACGTTGCCAAAGCCCACGCTGGTGAGGCTGCTGAGCGCGAAGTAGAGGGAGGTGATGTAGGCGCTGCGCAGGGACGGGCCGCCCAGGAGCGCCAGCCCCGTGCTGTTGACCTCGTTGCTGCTGCAGTTGTCACTCTGGCCAGAGCCGTTCCCCACGGCTGAGCTCTGGCCCACCAGGTAATAGGGGGTCTCCAGTCTGCGGCCCAGTTCTTGCAGCCAGCCTGCAGGGAGGGGAGGGGCACTCCTGCACTCGGGTGCGCGGCCCCCAAGGTGGGGGACAGGCACGGTGGGAGCCACTGCTGCCCCCACCTCAGCATACCCTGCCTCTCAACCTCTGCTGAGCAACCCCGGAACACAGCAGCCGGGTAGGCGGGTCCTCGGAGCAAGGAGCCCCACGCCCACTCTCGTGGCTGACACAGAGCCCTGGTCGCAGCCTGGGGTGGAGGGTGTTCACCCAAGCCCTCTGGCTCTCTTCTACCTTCCGAGAGGCCACTCGAGAGCGGCCCCCAGCCGCACCCCCACCCCCACCTCAACGCACACAGCCACATCATCAGGCTTCACAAAGGTCCTAAGCACGTGGAGGAGGGAATGCCACACACCCGCCAGCAAGGCCCACGGCTGAGCCCAGGCATGGAGGGCACCTTGGCACAGACACAAGCAGAGCTCAAGAGCAGGCCTGACTCCTCAATACCATATTCTCCGTCCCGGCCTTTGCATAAGGTGAGGGTGCAGGGTTCTTAGGACCCCTAAATCACTCTATGCCTAGCTGGAGGGTTGCAGGTATTCTAGGGGCGAAGGAAATTCCAAGGGGTCTCGGAAGGTTAAGCAAAGGCAGCTGGTGAATACAGAGGGTGGGCCCAGGGCCACAGGCTCCTAGGCCTAGACCCCCTCCCCACCCATGCTCTGCCCGCCCCCTCACCCCAACACGCCCCAAGCCTCCACTACACATTCTTCCCAACACCATATACTCCCATTGGCCAGTTATCCCTGCCACTCAGTCACCTGAAATAGTCAGATGCAGGGCGGGAGGTCTGCACCCAGCCGAGCATGTGCTATGGGCCATGCTCTGAGGGAAGCAGGGGGGCTGGCCTCAGAGGAGAGACAGAAGTTTGATTTTTTTTTTTCCTTTTTGGGTCACACCCAGCAATGCTCAGGGGTTAACTTCCTGACTTTGCACTCAGGAATTACTACTGGCAGTGCTCAGGGGATTCTATGGGATGCCGGGGATCGAACCCGGGTCGGCCGCGTGCAAGGCAAATGCCCTACCCGCTGTGCTATCGCTCCGGCCCCAACAGAAGTTTGATTTAAAGAAACATCATTGTGATCTAGGGCAAGCCGCCAGCCTAAAGTAGAGACGGAGACTGACTGCAGGCAGCAGCTCAGCAAGAATGTGGGGTTCACACTGGGGAAGGAAAGGTGGGGAGGTGAGTTAAAGCCCAAAGCAAGGTGAAGATTCAGTCCCTCTATGGGAGGGGCTCAGGGGGAGCAGGACGTACGAGACTCGGGGGCTCCAGGAGGGGGGCACTGCTGCCAGGTGTGAATGTAACGAGGGGGCGGTGGCAGAGGGGCCTCTCCGCTCTCAGCCTGGTCTGGCACCAGCAACCCTGGAGCAGCTGCCAGATGGCCCCTGCCAGCAGCTGCCCGAGACGGGAGCCTACATGGAAGTTCAGTTTAGCACCAGTCCGGCCCGTCTCCACTGGGCAAGGAGGAAGTTGGGACACCCGGGGCTGTGGAGCAGGAGAGCGAGGCCACGGGGACCCTCTCTCCCCCCGGTTCTTTCTAAAGTGGGACTTGGGGGCCCTGACTTCAACCCAATTAGGGATAGTTCCCTTGAAGAAAGCAGGGAGAGGTGGCGATGAGGGTGGGTGCCAACCTCCAGTGGAACGAAGGCCCTCAGGGCTTACGAGCGGCAGAACTCCCACACGTACCCACGAAACACCCAGCCCGTGCGGCATGAGCTTCCCACAGTAACCCCAGCACCCCCGGGAGCCAAAGGTGTCATCCCCATAGGCTGGGCAGCCACATCTGGTGCGAGCTCCTTAGAGCATAGGGGGCCACGTGGGCATAAGGCCCAGGGCGAGGGGGTGTGCGTGCCCCCAGGACTCTGGCGCCGCTGCAGCCTCTCCGCGTCTCCTGGCCCACTGACCCTCTTCTCCGGAAGCTGTGTGACCCTGAGCAGCTGCCACCCAACCTCCCTCAGGGAAGGACAGGCGCCACGGAGCCGACACCACCTGGAACATCCCGCTTCCGAGCAACTGGAGCGCTGGGGAGCTGCCGCGGGCCTCGGGGCACCAGGCTCTGGTCCCTGCGGGCCGGGGCAGGAAGACAGCCTGGAACAGAGGCTCCCGGGGACGGGCACCGCACTGCTGCATCCGAAGGCCAACCTGGAGCCTGGCGACCCTAACCAAGAGCGGGCAGCCCTGAGCAGCTGTTTCCCACCCACTGGCCTGAGGCCGCAGCTTGCAGCTGACAGGGAAGAAGGTGCTGGATTGGAAATGTGGAGTAGAAAGGCCAGCCCAGCTGGACAAAAAGAAGCGAGGCAGGGGCTGGAGCAACAGCACAGCGGGGAGGGCGTTTGCCTTGCACGCGGCCGACCCCGGTTCGGTTCCCAGCATCCCAAATGGTCCCCTGAGCACCACCAGGGGTAATTCCTGAGTGCATGAGCCAGGAATAACCCTGTGCAATGCTGGGTGTGACCCAAAAAGCAAAAAAAAAAAAAAAAAAAAAAAAAAGAGTGAGGCAGAGAGAGGAAGGGTGGAAGCAGACCTGTTCGTGTGGAGGGTGTGGGGGGAGAGGCGGAGCCTCCCGAGGAGTGTGGTCTGTGGCGGGCAGGGGTGACAGGAACATCACGGGGCCCAGCAGCCACCACCGTGACCTTCGGGCTGCTGTTATGGGCCAGGAGTGGGGGAGAAAGTGCTCCTGGTGGAGTGGAGGTGAGTGGGAGGAGAGCAGGAGGAGTGGGGGCAGGGGAAGAGGCGCGGGAGGGCCGAACAGCTGGCACAGATGCACACTGGAGGTGACCTGAGTGCGGAGGGGGCCTGAGAGCAGGTCAGGCTGAGCCCCAAGGGGCACCCAGTGCAGGTGACACAGTGCCCGGAGACCCCGGGCCTTGCCCCAGCCCCTGCATTCTCACGGACACATGCCCGACACAGATGGAAGCCCATGCAGCTGTGCACGCCTGTCGGGACACCTGCTATCAGCACGCCAACGCATGCCTCTGCACACCTGTGCCTTCCTGGACAGGCTCACGGTGAGGGACAGTCCCTGTGGACACAGACACCACCTCCTGCCCCCCACCTCTGCACACGGCGGGCGCCAGTACCAATCTCGGGCAGCTCCGAGGCGCTGTTCTCGATCTCCCGCTGGCCGATGTAGAACCAGACGCAGGCCACCCAGTGGGCGAGCAGGGCGAACACGGCCATGAGCAGGGTGAGCACCACGGCGCTGTACTGGGAGTAACGGTCGAGCCGGGGCAGCAGCCGGAGCAGCCGCAGCAGCCGCACCGTCTTCAGCAGGTGGGCCCCGAAGTACTGCGGTGGGGGGGAGAGGTCACCCCGCAGTCTCCCCTCCCCGGCTGGGCCCCCGCAGCCCGCCCTGCCCGCCACACTGACCACGTTGACCTTGAAGGCATGGAGCAGGTCGAAGGGCAGCGCCGCGATGACATCCAGCAGGAACCAGGTGGTGACGTAGTGGAGGCAAATGGACTTGGGGGCGAACACCACCTGGCCTGACTTGGACACGAAGGTGGTCCGGAAGTTCAGCACAATGTCTGCAGGTGAGGCATGGGGGCGACTGTCAGCCTGGGGAGCCCCGGCCTGACGATCAGCTCAGAGCTGAGAGTCCTGAACGCTGGGTAGACTTTTTAAAATGTAGTCACCGTGAAATCACAAGTTGTAATTTCAGTTGAGTTTCAGGCACACAACACGGACCCCTTCACCAGAGTCCACTTCCCTCCGCCACAGAATCCCCATTCCCTTTGCCTGCTGTCCACCAGTCTGCTTCTACGAGATCCCCCCCCTTTTTTTTTTTGCTTTTTTGGGTCACACCCAGCGATGCACAGGGGTTACTCCTGGCTCTGCACTCAGGAGTTACTCCTGGCGGTGCTCAGGGGACCATATGGGATGCTGGGAATCAAACCCGGGTCGGCTGCGTGCAAGGCAAACGCCCTCCCCGCTGTGCTATCTCTCCAGCCCCTAATTTAGCCTGTTTGGTGCGTGGAGGAGCTGAGCTTGGAGGTGTGACAAGTGGTTCAGGGTCCTCTGAGCCATTTGGGTATGCTGAATATCAGGTTTCAAGGTCTACCCACAGGTCACAGACACAGGGGGCAAGGGAGGCCCTGGTGGGAATTGGAGCCATGCAGATGACTGTCACCCCAGGGGCCCCGTGGCGAGCAGGGACACAGCACACGTACCGAGGATGAAGAGGACTTCCACGGCCAGGTCGCAGACGCTGGGGGGGCCACGGGCAGCGCTGGGCTCCCGAGCCGTGCTCACACACACGCTATAGGGCACGGTGACAGCCACATAGAGGGTGGCCAGCAGGATGAAGCCATCCCAGGTGGCCCTCAGCGCGCCACAGTGCAGCAGGATAAAGGGTGACTTTCGAATGGCAGCGACTTTGTACTCGGGCAAGTTTGGTTTCTCCCCAAACACTCCCTGAGAGGGGCCGGGCCGCCGGGAGGGGAAAGAAACAGACGCCAGGTTGAGGGGGTCTGGGACAGGCACCCGCCTCCCCGTTTGCATTCTCAAACCACCTCTGGCCTGGGCATCAGAGACCCCCGCTGCAGAGCAGAGAGCCGAGCTTCAGGCAGGTCTCAGCTAAGGGGCTGAGCCGCGGTCACAGCGCTGCTTAGGGAGGCGCCACGGCCCGACAATTCGCTCAGCCTTTGCCGCATCAGGCATGTGACATTTCCTCCCATAGCCACACCCCCAGAGTTTAGGGGAGCCCTGCCTGACCCCGTGGCCATCCTCTCTGTGGCGGGTTCAGCCCCCTCCTCCAGCCCAACCTCCCCCTCCCTGCCCGCCCTCGGCACACAACCTCAGCCCACCTTGTTGAGCTTATGCTTGCCCTTGGGCTGCTTCTGCAGGTGCCCGGACAGGTGGTAAAGCACAGCCCGGCTCCGCCGCCTGTTGGCATTGAAGCCTTTGCTTCTTCCTGCACGGCCATACCGATGGCGGCGGCCACCACCTGCACAAGGAGAGAAGCCCAAGAGGGTGAGTCCACCCCCTGCCCTCAGATGCAGCTCTGAGCTCGGGGACACCTGTTCCCAGCCACTAGTCTGCTCCGGCTCACTGCAGCTGTCTGTTAGCCTCGGGGCCCGGCAGGCCTCACTTCCTTGAGGCATTTGCCAACAGTAGTAACGGGCAGGCCTCTGGGTGAGGCCAGACCTAGGGTCGGTGCTGACTTCTGAGAGAAGTACGGGGAGATGGCTCTCAGAAGGAGGAGTCAGGCCACTGGAGACGCACATCAGGAGCAGTCAACCGGGATTGGGGCGGGGAGTGGGGAATGAAGGCTCCCCCCACCCCCACCTCTCAAGTACCAAGGAGGTCTTGATGTCAGCTCTGTGTCCTGTCCAAGTGCCTCCCCCAGCCCTTGGAGGACCCAAGACGGGAAGGATCCATAAGAACTTAAACGAAGACTTGGGCCAGGGCACCCCAGTCGACTTTACCAGGAGAGGATCCAGGTGCTCTGCACTGAGCTCACTAATTGATCAGTAAATGGCATTTCCCGGGGAGTTTGTTTATTTGGTTTCTTAGTAAAGTTCACTTGAAAACTCCAGTTTATCTCAGCTGAGTCCCCTGTCTCAGCTGAGTTGCACAGGTCCCTCAGCCGGCCCTGCCAGCCCAGAGCCAATGGGGGCACGGGGTCTGGGGACACCTGGGAGCCCTCTCAGTGCCCAGGCCCCACCCAGGCCTACTGTGTCCAGCACCCCTGCCACCCGTTCACACGCGGCCCCGAGCCACCCACCTGTCTCTTTCCAGTTGTCAGGGCCCCCTCGATTCTTTATGTCACTGATGTCCTTGTGGGAGACCAGGAAGAGGGCCACCTCCCCTTTCTCATTCTTTATGGGAATCACATCCAGGAGACACCAGAATGGGAGCCCTGGGCATGAAGACAGACTCAGCCCCAACAGGCCTGGCCTTTGCCGGGAGAGGGGTCTCGGACAGGGCTCCGGGGAGGGCAGGGGGGTCAGCGGGTCCAACTCAGACACCCCAGGCTGAGGCGGGGACGATGGGACTGAGAAGGGTTCTGGAAAGAGGCAAGAGGTGGGGTGATGGGAAGAGGAGCTGGGAGTAGGGAAGGGGGATGAGAGGAGACAGAGAAGGGGCGTGGGGCAAGCTGGGCGAGAGGAAGGTGTGAAGCAGGTCAGGGACCCCCTCACCACTCTTCCGGTACAGGATCAGCTCGGCCTTGAACTCCTTGTGCTCATCCAGGGCCTTGCGGATCTGCTGGCGGACAAGCTCGCTGGTGTCAGGCCCATAGAGGAAGGAGCAGGCGCAGCCCCGCTGCATGACCTCGGCCCGGGAGAAGCCCGTGAGGTCACAGAAGCCATCAGAGCAGTAGACAACGGGGAAGAGCCCCGCCACCTGGGCATTGCCCAGCACGAAGTTACTGTCTGCAAGAGAGCCCTCCTCAGAGGAGGCATGGGGGAGCGGGGGCCGCCCTCTCCCACCCCTCCCGCCCCAGGAGTGGCTGCTCCAAGCCCCAGGAAACCTCTGAATGATCGGGAGGAGGCGGGGTAGTGGGGTTGCTTAGGAATAGGAGCTCCGTGTGTCAGCGCCTAAGGGAGTCCCTGCGTTCAGGTTGATGAGTGAACTCGAATGGGCAGGGCGCCTTCCTTCCGGGTGTGTCCTGGGCTGCTTGGGGGAAGGGGTGGGGCCGGGGGTGCCCTGAGGAAGGTCACAGCCTGACACCCCCTGCTACCTATGCCAGACTCACTCGCTTGCCAGGCCCCACGCTGGCTGACTCACCAGGATGCAGAGCACCAGGCCCCCATCCATCCCTCTCTGGCCCCAGCACCTGCCTGGCTCAGGGATAAGTGAATGTCAGCAGCGCTGGGAATGTATTGGGGAGTGGGGGGCACTGAATCAGCAGGCTGCAGGAGCCAAGCACCGCGGCAAAGCAGATGGAGGGGCCTGCGTGTGTGGGGAAGGCGCCGCTGCCGGGATGGGCTCCCTCTGTCTGTCCTAACCGAGGACACCCGCAGAGCTGGGAAGCTCCACCAGGAACGTGCCGGGAGGAGAAAAGAGGGGCTTTCTCCACTTTCCTTGCGCTCTGAACGCCTGGAACCCGTGATTCCCTAGCTCGGGCCCCTTCTCCAAACTTCATCAGTCTCAATGGGGGCGCCCCCAAACCCATCTTCCAGGGTTCGGGCTCGGTGCCCTCCTGATTCCCGCCGGATCTGCCTTGGCGTGCAAACCTCTTTCCAAATCTGCTTTCGGCCGGTCCCCAGTCGGTCCCAGTCCGAGAGCAAAGCGTGGGAAAAGGCCGGGACGCTCGGACAGTCCCGCGCGGGCTCCCGCGCCCCCCCCCTCCCGAACGCGCTCAGAACGCCCCGACCCCAGACCCCCGACCCCCGAGGTCGCCGGGCCATTTCCCTAGCGCGGTGGGGGGCTGAGTGAAGTTTTGGGCTGGGGGGAAACGGCCCCTGGCAGGAAGGGGCCCTCGGCCGCGGCTGGACTGGACGCGGGGCGCGCGCAGGGGCGGGCGAGCGCAGGTGTCGGCGCGCAGCCCGCGGCGGCCCCGGCCCCGGGCAGCTCCCCCCGGGCCGGCGGGGAGGGGGTCGGACTCACGCGTGCCGTCGAAGCGCGTGGCGATGGTGTCCAGGAAGGTGTTCTGCGGCGCCAGGAGTCCCCGCATGGCCGGCATCTTAGGCGGCTGCGGCCGCCCGCCCCATCCCTCCGGGGGCGCGGGCACTCAGCGCCGGGGGAGGGCGCCCCGCTCGGCCGCCCCCCGCCGCGCCCCGCGCCCCCCTAGCGCAGCCGTCGCGGGGCAGCGCCCACCCGGGGCTCCGCGGCCCCGCCAGCCGCCCGCGGGCGAGGGGGCGTCCGCGCCGTCGGGGCCCCGGGCATAGCGCGCGGCCCCGGCGCCCGCCCGCGTCGCCCACGGATCCCGGGCGCCGCGCGCTGCGCCCCCCGCGCCCTCGGCTCGCCGCCCCGGCGCGCGCGGCAACGGCTCCGGCCTCGGCTGCGGGTCGCCCCCCGCTCGGCCCGCGCGGCGCCGGGTGCCCGCGGCTCCCTCCGTCCGTCTGTCTGTCGGGGCGCGGCGGCAGCCTCGCTCCTGCCCTCCCGCGCGCGCCGCCTGCACCGGGGTAACCATGGAGACCAGGCACACCCAGGCAGGGCCGCCTCCTTAAAGGGACAGGCCCCTCGCCGGGGGCATCCCTCCCCGGGGAGCCCGGGGGCGCGGGGGCACCGCGGCCCCCTGCCGCTTCGCAGGCAGGCCCGGGCGCCCCGAGTGCCCGCCCGGCTCCGGTCCCGCCCGGGTTCACGCTGCCCCAGGCGGGAGCCGGTTTGGCGCTTCCGCGCGGCGGGTGTGCAGTCTCCTAGCAGCTCTCCTCCCCGGGAGAGCCCTGCGGATGCGGAGCGGAGCTGGGGGTGGGGGTGCGTGTTTTAGAGGGAAGATCCTCCCCCCCGCCGCCGGGAAAGGGGGCCAGCTGGGCAGCTGCGCGGAGGAGGGGAGGGCCGGGCGGTTGGCGGGCAGAGGTTGCGGTCCCTCGAGGGCCACCGCAGTTCCGGGAAGTCTGCAGGCGGGGAGGTTTGAATGCAACTTCGGGGCTTCCAAGTCTTTCTCGGCCTCCACTTGTCCCCCAGGAAAATGGGATCTGGGCATCTGGAGCCGGCGGCGCGGCAGACAGGAGAGGCTGGGAACGGGAGGTGCTGGAGCGTGGGGAGCTCAGAGTCGGGAGCGGGCGCTTCCCCCGTCCCCCCAGGTGTGCCCGGGGCGTAAGAGCGCGTGTGAGTGAGGGTGCGCGCGCGCACGGGAGCCTAAGTCCTTGGTCTCGCCCTGCGTTTCTATCTGTCGCCTTTGAAGAGGCCCCCGGGCTATGCTAGAGGGTCTGGTCGCAGGTTGGGAGACAGGTGAGATCTCCAACTGGGCAAAACTTCCAGTCTCCGGCGTGTGCGTCCTTAAGGGGCTGGGAGTGCGAAGACCAAGCCGAGCTCCCCACGCGATCGCTAAGAGATCTGCGGGCGGGCGAGAAGGGGGCTAGCTCGGGTGGTGTCGGAGGGGCGGCGCCCTGGGCTCCGGCTCCTCTCCCGCGCCCGCCGTCCCCGAGCCCGGCTCTGCCGGCGCAGCTCCTCCTCCCTCCCACGATTTGCCAGCGAACGCGGCAGCGACCGCCCGCGCTCAGAAGAGCCGCCGAGGCCAAAACAGCAATTTGCTCTCGAATGAGTGAAGCGGGAGGCTCAGCACACCCATCCCTCTAGGAGACACATCCACAGTCACCGGCATGAAAAAGTGAGGGGTGTCCCCAGCTCGACTCTGTCGTCAACGACAAGAGCCCAAACCACAGGCACCTGCATTAAAATGAGCGGGTGCTTCGTGCTTTGCGAGGAAAGTGAGAGGCAGACTGGGTCCTCCAGCCCGAATCTTGCCCCCAGGCAGAAGGACCACAGATGCTGGCAGAGCCTCCTTCCTCTGCCTCCCCCCCCCCCCCCCCCAGAGGATCTCCACCACGAAGTAACCTTTCCAGGCTCACCTATGCCTTAGACAGTGGCCCAGAGGGTGCAGGGGTGGAGAGGTAGTACAGTGAGTGAGCAGGGCATTTGCCTTGCTCGAGTCCCATCCGGTCAGATCCCAGCACCTCATATGATCACAAGGAATGATCTTGAGTGTGCAGGAACCAGGAGTAAGCCTGGAGCACCAAAACGACCCCCACCCCCCAAAAAAGAGAGGGGCCAAGTGAGGAGGCAGCTCACGCTGCAGAGATGAAAGTTGTGTTTGGAAGGACCCACCTAGGTTGGAGTAGACTTCTGCCACTTGCTGTCTGGGACTCAATGATCTCATCTGTAACTGGCATGATGTGAGCGAGGCTAACTCTCAGAGGGGTTTAAGGATGATTAAAGGAGTAAATGAGCTGGAACACAAGACACTAGCATCATGCATGTTTGGAATCTCATAAGAACCTTATGAAATGGGCGGGACAGATGCTGTGCTGGGCTGGTAAGGCTATCAGGAAGGAAGAAAGGAAGTGGGTGGATGGAACACATATACTTCCTCAAGGTACCCAGGGTGGAGCCACTGGACTTAGATGCCAGTCCATTCCCAGTCCAGAGACTGTTCCCACCAAGCTACGCCACCAGGAGATTATGTGGGTACGCAAGAACTGGTGGACTGGGGCTGTCTCCAAGAGTTGCACAGTCCTGAGGACAGGCATGACCAAAAGGGGTTTGGCTTCCAGCGTATCTGTCAGGGCTGGTTTTGGACACAGTCATAAAGCCAAATCAGACACCTAGAGCCCAAGACAGCGGGAGGCGGGGGGGGGGGGGAAGATAGGGGGAGTGCCTCAAATAATCTTAGAGAAAGCTGAAGAGAAAATACAGCAGTAGGACTTCTGCACACAGCTGACCTGGGTTCAATCTGCAGCACCGCATATGGTTCCCAGTCCAATGAGGAATGATCCTCGAGCACAGAGCCAGGAGTAAGCCCTGAGCACTGCCAGATAGTGCTCCCCCCTCCCCCCATGTTTCAGTAGCTTAGGTTTAGTGAGCACTACCTTTGTGCCTGGCACTGGACTACGTGCTTGCTTTACTAGACTATTCCATTAATCTTCATCACAATTCTAGGAAGTTCCTGTAACAGCCAAGTGACAGATGAGAATTTTGAGGCAGAAGTGAAATATATAGCCTAAGCTGAACTGCCTCTTTCTGCAGTGCCAGACACAATTCCCGAGTCTCTGACTTGGCGCCCTGATCCCAGTTCCAAAAGAAAATACACTGACATGGAGTGCTGTAATCTTCTTTTTTGGTGGGGGAACAGTGCAACACCCAGTAATGCTTCTTCCTGACTGTGCTCAAGGATCACTCTTGGTAGTGCTCCTCAACTGTATAGGATCCTGCGGAGTTTTGTGTTTTGGGCTACACCCAGCAGTGCTCTGGAGTTTCTCCTGGCTCTGCACTCAGGAATCACTCCTGGCAGACTCAGGAACCAAACAGGATTCCAGGGATAGAACCCGGGTTGGCTACGTGCAAGGCAAGCGCCCTACCTGCTGTACCAGCTCTCTGGTCCCATGGGATCATGGAGATTAAACCCAGATGAGCCTCCTGTAAAACAACTTCCCTAACTCCGGCCCTGAGATCCTTATCTCCGAATGAAACAGCACTCATTCTGGCCTGAAGCCATGGTCCTTCAGAGAATTTGTGTGAATGTGTGTCTGGGTCTTTTTTGCCTGGTTCCAGAACTTTCTGTTTAGATGGATGTCTTGAAGTTGGGCCTCAGCCCACTCATTCTCTATCTGTCTCTCAGATCTCCCTGCCAGGCTTGGCCTACAACTTCCCCGTTCATGGATGGATGAATTGCTGAATTTCTTCTCCCTCCCACCTCCCTCACCCCTGCCATACCCACCACTCAAGGGGCACCACCTTTAGGGGATAGCAAGGGGAGGTGTGAGGGAGCGAGAGCTCCTCACTGCACCTCCTTCCCCTGTCCCCACCTCCCCCCTGACTCATCCAGTCACAGTGGGGAGTCACAGGAAGGTTTGTGTGTGTGTGTGTAGGGGGGTTGCTGTTCAGAGACAACTCAAAGCCATTGTCCACAAGGAGAAACTAAGGAGGCTGCTTTCTGAAGCGGCTGTGGGAGGCTGTGGGAGTATTATCTACAAAAGGAACAAGAGAGAGGAGCAGAGCGAGGGGAAAATGCTCTTGACACAAAAGCTGGAAACCGCCCCGCCTCAGAAGCAAGCGCAGGTGGAGTCTCAGGGTGGGGAGCAGGTGGCTGTCGAGGAACAGAGTTGGCTGCCCACTCCTGGGCTCCCCACCCTCAGCTCGGGGAGCCCCGGGCAGGATCCGGCCAGTGTGGCCAGGTTCTGCATCCAAGGCTGCGCTGCACGGTACGAACTGTCAGGCTTTCAAGTCTGGGTCCCACGTCTGGTTCAGCCACTGGGTGACCTCGGGTGGGTGTTAATCACTTCATTTGTGAAAGATCCTTTTTGTTTGGGGCTCCTGTGGTGCTGGGGATCACACTGGGGACACCCACATGCAAAGCAGATGTACCAGCCTTCTGAGTCATCTCCCTGGTCCTAAAAGGTCCTTTCTCAAAGGTCCGCGGAGAAGCCGTGAGTTTTGTCAGTGGTAAGAATTGTTACTTGGGGCTGGAGTGATAGCACAGCAGATAGGGCGTTTGCCTTGCATGCGGCCGACCTGGGTTCAATTCCCAGCATCCCATATGGTCCCCTGAACACTGCCAGGAGTAATTCCTGAGTGCAGAGCCAGGAGTAACCCCTGAGCATCACCCAGGTGTGACCCAAAAAAGCTAAAAAAAAAACCCTGTTACTAAATGTGCCCCCAATATGGGCCTGGGTCAGGGTGCTGGGGCCTGGAAAGTGAGATGAGGGTAAGACCTTGCTGAAGACTCCCCAGTCCATAGAGAAGGAAGGATGGAAGGAAGGGAGGAAGGAAGGGAGGGAGGGAGGGAGGGAGGGAGAAAGGAAGGAAAGAAGGAAGGAGGAGGGAAGGAAGGATGGATGGATACCATTGGGAACTCCTGCAAGGAAGGAAGGAAGGAAGGAAGGAAGGAAGGAAAGAAGGAAGGGAGGAAGGGAAAGGAAGGATGGAAGGAAGGAAGGATGGATACCATTGGGAACTCCTGCGCTTGGTGACCCCTTAGCTCACACTAGGACATTTCTTTTACTTTAGTGGAAGGTTCTAGTTTGTGTGTGTAACCTACGAGGTCCTTGGAGAGTAAGTGCAGGAGCCATGTTGGAAGCTGATCTGATTTAGTGGAGGGCCGTCCACTGTGCCTGGGGCAGCAGCCCATGATGGGCATCAGGGGGCTGATTTTGCTGAGTGGTCAGAGGGTGACCTGGGATGCTGCTT